GTTCCAACTGACACAGGCAGCAGCAGTGAAGAAACTGAAGGGACGGTTGCCACACATGTGTGGTGGAGGCACCGTGTGAGTTGTCTGCCCCACATGCATGGCTTCCAAAAATTTCTGACTAGGCGCGCAGCGGCGCCTAGGACACCTAAGGTGGAGCTCCCACAGGGACACTCCTCAAAGAAGAAATATTTGTAGGATAGAACTAAGAGGAATAACATACATTATTTTTCCTTTTGAAAGCTGAGTTATAATAGATGAGAAACACTCTTAAAAATCAGATATCAAAAGAGAAGCACTAAAATGCTATTTAGATATGTTTCTTAGCTATTTATAACATCATGCAATTAATTCATTAAAAACCCCAAGAGCAAATGGCAGTCTAATCTTTATAGCGGCAATAGGTAGTGGATGAGCCTTGTTACTGTATTATCGTTTGGAGGGGAATTGCATTGATTCTGCTTTGCAGTACTATCCTGTTAAAATATTCAAGATAAAGAACATTACATGCCTTACCTGGTAATCCATGCTCTCAAAACAATTAAAAACCACACAGAATCTTCCCATGGCCTAAGGGGAAAAATACTGTTTTAGAGCAGACATAATGTGTTATTAAAACATTAAAATAATAGCACATTAATAAGGTCATCCCCATAGACATAAAAACTGTTGAAATAATATTTTTGAAGAATTATTTTTGATAGACAAATTTTAAATATGTGATTCTAAAAGGAGACAAGCAACCTCACCTTAGATCTGATGCACCTTTTATATTTCTAAATCATTTAAATCATAACTCTTAATATTTACAATTGGGGCACTATTCCCAAACTTTTGAAAGCTGAGCCACCTTCAGGAAAACTATACAAATTATGTTCCACTACGAGCATGCCCTACTTCGCCTCCTTATCTTAGGCCTTTGCCTACACTGCAAAACAAAAGCAAAACCACAAAAGTTCCTAACTCAGGTTAGCTAATGCAGCTTTAAAATAACAGTGAAGACACACCAACTAAACTTTTAGAAGCTCAATTTCAATCCAAGGATGCCCTACAAACCTTAATTTAATTTACTAACCTGAGCTAAAACCAATGTTTTAGTGTTTTTGCACACGTTTTCTTTGGCAGTGTAGACATACATTTAATGCAAACATTTTCCATACCTTTTCTTCCCCAATAGCTTGTGGAAGAGAGAACAGGAACAATCTATACCAACCTTAGATAACCAAGAATAGTGAGTGGGCTGCATGAATGGTCCTCCATCTCAGTGGACTGCAGCAGCCCGTGGCCCACTGGGGTTCCACCAGGGCTTATGGACCCTCTGACTGTCATCCTCTCACACGCATCTCTTGCGCACTGCAGCGCTGCATTTCCTATTCCTTCAGCTCCCTTCAAGCACTTTTGGAGTGCCACAAAGTGTCTGATTCATACCCAATCCCTATCCCTCCTCCTCCCTCAGAGAGCTTGAACAGCCATGAACAGCTGATTTCTGAGGAAAGCAACCACAACTGCCATGCATTTCATGAACACCCTGAGGGCTGTGGAAAGTCCAAAAAGGAAGCACTACAAACTGGTAATGGGAATGACCAACTGTAAAACAAAGAAACGACTTAGCTGGAACGACCACGATATGGAAGTATTTATCTTTCTGATTGACAGCAGTGTGCCAGTTCCCTAAATCGAGGGAAGAGATAATGGAAGCAGGAATCACCATCCTGAACCTTGTATTTTTATAAAGGCATTGAGATCTCTGAGGTCCAATATTGAACAAAGACTGCCTTTGGCTTTCCGGATTAGGAAATATCAGGAATAAAACCCTTTACCCCTGCACTCTGGAGGAAACTCCTCTACTGCTCCTAGTGCAAGAAATGACAGCACCTCCTGGTTGAGAAAATTCTTGTGAAAGGGATCCCTGAAAGAGGACAGGGAAGGAGGCCATGGGAAAGTGAGGGCTACCATGTCTGAGACACAGCAGTTTGAAGTGATCTGTGACCACGACTAGTGGAAGTGAGATAAGATGATTAACAAAGGGATGATTTGAGGAGGAGCGTTGATGACGTGTAAACTTTCCTGTCAAATAAATCCAGTCTTTTAGAATCTTTGTCTAATGTGTAGTTCCTATATTGTGGTGTTTTAGCCCTTTGTTGTGCCACATCTACTACCAAGGAATTTGGCTGAAGGTGATTGAAATAAAAACTCAGACCCCCTTGGGTGACACAAAATACTTTTTATCCGCCCCTTTGTTGGTAGATAAGGTGGCTGCTGGAGTTTGACAGATGTCGACTGCAACTTCCAACATGGCTTCATCAAGCAGGATGGCCATCTTTGAAGATTGGGAAGTTTGCAGATTCTTAAGGAGGCGATGATGTTTCTCTTTAATCTCTGACAACTGTATCTCTTGACTAACTGTGAAAAGGAGTCCTGTGGCACATTATAGACTAACAGATGTATTGGAGCATAAGCTTTCATGGGCAAAGACCCACTTAGTCAGATGCATGTCGAAGTGGGTCTTTGCCCACAAAAGCTTATGCTCCAATACATCTGTTAGTCTATAAGGTGCCAAAGGACTCCCTGTCACTTTTGCAGATCCAGAGTAACACGGCTACCCCACTGATTCTTGACTAACTGCCACCCTCTTGAACAACTCTTGAAATTGTTTTAAATCGTCAGGAGGTGAGGCATCTCCAGGGATAACTACTTTGTCAGATGACAAAGAGGACTGATCTGTAGGAGATATATCAGGTGGTTGTACCTCTACTGCAGTAGGCTGCTCCTGGTCAAAACGAGGAGGTTGAGGAGACACTGGGTTCTGTTCTAAACCAGATGAGGGTGGAGCAGGCGAATGTCCAGATACACTCTCATATGTTGACTGTGGACGAGATCTGGATTTGTAATGAGAGAAGTATCTGTATGGCGAATGATGTCTGTCAGTTGCAGTGGTGGTGGCAGTCATCATGGTAGTAATAATTGCTATATGTGGGAGAATGCCTGTATGTGTGAGGTCTCCAGTATTCCCTCTAGTAAGGGGATCTTGGTGATCATGGAGAGAGGGAGGGAGTGTAAGATCTCCTTGGAGGATGTGATGAAGAGGCTGAGAATTGTCTTTGGGAGTAATGAGTAGGCTCTCTAGGTGGAGTGAGGAACAGAGATGGTAGTCTGTGTGAAAAGCGCTGCCGATTGTCTCAACTGGTCGGAAGTGAAGGGGATGCCAGTACCGCCAGTGGTGGTGAGGGTGCTGGTGCCAGTGAGAAAGTCAGTGATGGAGAGTGTGGAGAAGGGCTTCGGCGCCGATGAGTCTTTGCCATTGCCCTTCTTGGTACTGCAGGTGCTGAAGTCGGTGCTGGTAATTGTGGCATGGCACTTAACGGTGCCAGCTGTAAATGTGGCACCGGTGCAGATGCCAGTGCTGATGGCTTTGGTGCCGGGACTGCTGGCACCGGTGCTGGTCATGCGGTCGGTGCCATTGTCGTCAACTTCTTTGATATGGAAACCACTGCTGAGATAGAATGGGAAACGGGTATCCCAGATGTGCCTGGCTTCCTGCCCATGCTCACTCTACTACAGGGTACAGCGGGAGAGACCTCACCAGAGAGGGTTTCTTTTTGTGCATTGGAGCCGGGGTCGGAGAAGAGGCTCATCGGTTTTGGATCTGTTGAGGAGTAGGAGAGGCTGATCCATCAGGCTGGAGGGCCTTGTCAAATAAAATCATGCGAAGCCTCATCTCTCTGTCCCGACGGGCCAGGCCGTTAGCTTTCTGCAATGGGGGCATTTTTGCGGCACATGAGCTTCCCCTGAGCAGCGTATACAGGCGGAATGTCCGTCTGAGGCCAGCATGACTACTAATGTCACAATAGCTCGAGCTGCTGTATCAGCTATGTCCAGGGCTATCTGTAGAGAGGTTTGTGATGAAGCATGAAGTTCTCTCTTGCATGATAGATTTCAGTATCGGTCTTTTTGAGTCTGGTAAATGCTCAATGAGGGAAATAAGCTTAGTACAATTGTCAAAATTTTGGTTAAAGAGCAATCCTGCATAATTTGCTATTCAGAGAAGTAAAGTTGCCGATGAGTACATCTGGTACCCAAAGATGTACAGACGCTTATTTTCTTTGTCTGCAAAATTATTTTTATATTGCGGAAATTTAGCCCTTTGCTGAGCTGCATCCACAACTAAGGAGATAGGTTGAGGGGGGGAAAATAGAAATTCTGTGCCTTTAGGCAAGACAAAGTACTTTTTATCTACCTGCTTATTGGTTGGAGGTATTGACGACGGAGTCTGCCAGATCTCATTGGCAGCCTCCATAATATCCTCATCTATAGGAATGGCGTTTTTTGCGTGCTGTGACAGTTGAAGATTTTTGAGAAGCTGGTGTTGTTTTTCTTGGACCTCAGTCAGCTGGATCTCTTGGCTGGCAGCTACCCTTTAAAAAAGTTCCTGAAATTGTTTCAGGTTGTCAGGTGATAACTGACTCATTGGGAGAGGAGGATGATTGGTCAGTCGGTGAAATGTCTGGCTGCTGTTCCTCTGTCTCAGACATTTGTCCCTCCTCGGGTTCGGATTGATGGTGTATCTTGGAGGGAGAAGTTGTAGGTTCCGGACTGTATATTGTAGAAGAAGATGAATATTTTGCCTGGGTGGATGTTCCCGACTGCACAGTGGTTGATATATTCACTTTTGACGATAGTGGTGAGTTGACCAATGGTCAGAATAATCATAATAATCTGAATGGTGGTGCTGCCGATAGTTCCATATGTTGGGGAATGAAACCGTGATGGAGATACGTTCATGCAGTGCATATGATGGTATGTATGAGGAGAGAGTACTGGAGAATGTATCAATCCGAGAGATCCCCTTGAGGATGGGGGAGGTGACAAAGAAGTGTATCTCTGGTAAGGTTGTTGGGGTACATGGAAAAGATTGGAAACTAGTCCATAGTGTCTGTCGTGGCTGATGGTAGAAGTCTGTACCATAGGAGAATGTATCGTAGATGACAGTGATGATGGAGTTGGTGAAAACTAAAGTGGTTCTCGGCTGATGTTGCTTGTTCTTTGCAATTTTTGCAAATCCTCATCGCTTTTGCAGATTCAGACTAACATGGCTACCCCTCTGATACTTGACTACAAGTGAAATGTGTTTACCATTAGTGATGAATTCAGACACAAGCTGAGTAGCAGAAAAACTACTGGCTATCTATTCTCTAAAAGGAACTGTCATAAATACTCTAGATTTATTTTGTCATATCAAGACATTGTACTTACTTTTGACAGGTCTTTGACAGTCTCAGTTTTTCCTGTACCAGCTGGACCAGCAGGGCAGCCTCCTAGATTCAAGTGTAGTGCTCCAGTAAGGGTTAACCAGCACCGGTCAGTGAGCGGTGTAATAACCAATCGAGAGGAACAGCCCAAGTACTCGTAGCCATAAACAAAGGAGGCATTACCTTGAACTATCCTACAGGTGCTATTCATTTCATTCCATTCATAACGCAACTGCCTGAAATGATATTTGTGAATCAGAATCTGGTAAAATTAATGACAAAGGAATTAACATCACGTGTTCACTTTGTGAAAAATGCATGGATTGTTTAAATACATGGATAAATTAGACAGAGTTCAAGGTGCAGAAAGAATCAAACAAAAAAGAATAATCGTAAATAGGAGAAAATTTAGAAAGCGAAGTTAACTCCATTATAGACTGAAAATAAAGCATTCATTTTATCATAATGATATGCAATACTGATTATGAGTAAAAATACCACTAAATTGGAGGGCAGCAAGGTAGGTTTTTAACATATGGCACACTAGCTTGCCAGGCACTATTGGGTTTTGTGGATCCTGCTACCACACAATAAAAGTTTTGTAGGGCACTTCAACATACTGTTTGAAACACTGGGATTGTCATTCAGTCTCAGTATTGGCTCCACAATGGCTTCTTATCCCAAACACTTTGCTTAGCCAGTTCCAGTCTCCACCTTTGTCCTGACTCCTCATGTGCTTTCAAGTCAGTCCCTCAACCATTTTCCTCTTAGATTTCATTTCCCTCCCCCCCCCCCCCCCCCCCCCCCCTCTGTACTGTTCTTTTTACATTAGAGCCAGACAGATTTTTTCTACATGCCCTCTTGGCCCAGTGGGAATAGGAGGTCGTTGACTTTTTGCTTACAGTTTTGATGCCTGGCCCTGTGCTCTCCAGCGGCAATCCAGAGCTATATCTGCCAAGAAGTCCTGCTAAGCTCCAAGCTAGAACATACCCAATATGGACAGAGTATTTGGGAAATTGGGCTGAAAGGCTCTAGCACAGGAGTGGAAAACTTTTTGGCTTAAGGGCCACAATGAGGTTCAAAAATTGTATAGAGGGCTGGATAAAAAAGGCATGGATGACCTATCCCCTATCTAACCTTCTGCTCCCCACCCTCTGACTATTCCCCAGGAACCCTCATCCCCTATCCAACACTCCCTGCTCCCTATAACTGCCTCCTATCCAACCCCTGCTGCTACCTCCCCAGGTCCTCCTACCCAATTCCTCCTGTGCCCCACCCAACTCCAGGACTCTGCTGATTCCTACCCCTTGACTGCACTGCCTGAAGAGCTGATGGCGCAATGAGTACACTGCCTGGGCACTGGGGGAGCTGAGGCTGCAAGGGTGGGGAGAAAAAAGGGAAAAAGCTGAAGGCTAGCCACTCCAGGCAGAATCTCGGAGGCTGGACAGAAGGGTTCAGCCTCTGAGTTCCCATCTAGGGCCAGATGTGGCCCACAGGCTATAGTTTACCCCTCTCTGCTCTAGCAAGTCTCTACTGGGCATGTGCAAATTGTGATTTTTTCAAATGCATATAACTAGGCCAAATTTGGGCAGATTTTGACAGAACTGGCAAAAGGTACATTTCTGACCCAAAGGATACTGTCCTGCCAAATCCAAATCCATGCTGCAAAGTATGGGTTGATATAGCTTCTCAAAGTATAGGTAACCACAAATTTTTAACATAGAAAAGCAAGCATTTTCCCCAAGGTTTGTTCCTAGAAACAGTCCAATTTTTTAGCCAACATTTTAAAAAAACCACCAAAAAACAATTCCTAAGCCTAAAGTAGATGCTCAGTATAGAAAACTTCAGCCTTAGTACTTAAATGTTGATAAAGTTATAAGCAACTGAAAACAACGTGTAATGGGAAGCAATTAAGTGTCGCTATTACACTCATCTATAATTTAAAAACCTTGTACCTTGTCCATTCAAAATCCTCCATTTTGAAGATTTGTTTATCTATCAGACTGGAAAGTATGTCCCTACTGTGGATGTACAAAGTAAGCAGTGCTTCTAGTGTGGTTTGCTTGTGAAGTTGAATAATGTCCGATGCCATCTCTGCAAGCTGCTCTAGATGATGGACTAATTCATCATGGACTCTTGTCAATCCCATTTTTGGATCAGAACTCTGGAAAATTCTTGTACAATCCTTGCTGAACATAATTTGGCTCTAAAAAGGCAAATATTATTTTGGCAGCGTTAACTACAATTTTGATTTCTTTGAATTCAAAAGTACATGTTGCACAAGCACATGGATTGGTTTAGTAACTTGGGGGCAGATTCTGACATCCTTATATTGATCAGTGCTTTACTCACAAATAGTCCCAATGATGATAAGAGCTGTTTATGATGAATAATGGTAGTTGAACCCCATGCTTATTTGATTTTTCCCTTCTTAACGCAGAGAAAAAAATTATGCAAATTTTTCACACTTAACCTTATTAAAAAATGATCACATTTTTCTGTATTTTTCTGTATTTTACTTCAGGTTACTAATAAATGGTAGATTAATTTTAACGCTGGAAAACATAATTCCAGCTATTCATATAAAATTATAGGGATTAAATTAGCTGTTACCATTAAAGAGAGATCTTGAAGTCATTATGGAAAGTTCTCTGAAAGCATACATTCAGTGTGCAGCAGCAGTCAAAAAAGTGAGCAGAATTTTAGAAATAATTAAGAAAGAGATAGAGAATAAGATACAGAAAATTGTATAAAGCTATGGTACACCCACATCTTGAATACTGCATGTAGCTTTGGTCCCCTCATCTCAAAAAGATATCTTGGCATTGGAAAACATTCAGAAAAGGGCAACAACAATTATTAGGGGTCTAGAATGGCTGCCATGGGAGGAAATTTTAATAAGACTGGGATTTTTCAGTTTAGAAAAGAGATAACTAAGCGGGGATATATATGATAGAAATCTATAAAATCATGACTGATGTGGAGTAAATAAGGAAAAACTATTTACTTGTTCCCATAACACAAGAACTACAGGTCATCACATGAAATTAATAGATAGCAGATTTAAAAGAAACAAAATAAAGTATTTCTTCACACAATACAGTCAACCTTTGGAACTCCTTATCAGAGGATATTGTGAAGGTCAGGACTATAATAGGGTTCAAAGAAGAGCAAGATAAATTCACGGAGGATAGGTCCCTCAATGGCTATTAGCCAGGATAAGCAGGAATAGTGTCCCTAGCTCCTGTTTGTCAGCAGCTGGGAATGGGTGACAGGGGCTAGGGACATCACTCCTGCCCTGCTCAATAATTACCTGTTTTGTTAATTCCTTCTGAGGCACTTAGCATTGTCCACTGTCAGAAGACAGGATACTGGAGTAGATGGACCTTTGGTCAGACTCGGTATGGCCGTTCTTATGTTCTTAAATATAATTAGCATATAACTATTTTTTTCTGTAAGCTTCTGTTACAGTCCTTAAAATTACCCTCCTACCACTATTGCTCTATTTTAACTCTATTGTCAAGACTATTGTTTTGTCACTTTTTCCAATACAAAATACACCATTAGGAAACCTTTAAATTTCTCCAACCGTCTTCAATAATCAGAGAACTAGAGTACAGAAGCAGGATTAAAACTGAAAAAATTGTAAAAAAAATATAGTTTATGTAAAAGAATCATCTTATCATCAAGTAGTCAAACATTTTGTACTGAAATTTAGAATCCTGCAGCCATATAGCATTATTTACACAGGATTTGGATATTTAAAAGAAGTTTCTCACTGCAACAGATATCCAAATACAAGTGGCAGAGGCATTTTTCTGATCTGAATGAGTTATCAATGATACTTACCACAAGAAGCACCACTTGTCCTGGATGATTCAGAAACCATTGCTTAAATTCCATTTGATTCCACTCTATCACTCCAATCTTCACAAATCTACAAACATGTATCAGTAAACAAACACATTCTACAAACACATTCCACTAAATTAAGTTTATATGATCATCATAGAAATACTATTAGTCAATTATTATGCTGCCCAGAGGCAACACATGGGGGGGGGGGGGAATCCAAATTCATGTCCCCCACAGACTTGTTGCTTGGCTTGAAGTGATCAGGCTCACCCAAACTAAGCATGCTCAGTAACAAGACTGAAGCCACTGCCCTCTCTCACTGCCTTGTCACTTCCACTCACCCAATCTAGAGGCATGGGTTGTCTCTGATGTTGCTATATACTAAGCAGATTTTTGTAGCTGACTTCATAAGAAGACGTTACTCACCTTCATGCAGTAATGATGGGTCTTTTAGATGGGTCCCCATGGGTGTGCTCCACTCATGGTGCACGGCTTGTCCTGGCACCGCATCTCGGAGGCTTTGCATAGCTCTATTCAGCCCGGTTGCACATGCACGATGTGCAGCATGTGCCGTTCGTGCTCTTTGATCTTTGCGCACACCCAGCTTACCTGTAAGTTCCTCTCACTGTTTGGTATCTGTAAGGATACAAAAAGAAACAACTCCAGAACGGGGAGGAAGAGTGGGACGTGGAGCACCCATGGGGACCCATCTCGAAGAACCACCCTTACTGCATGAAGGTCAGTAACTACTACTTCTTCAAATGGTCCCTGTGGATGCTCCACTCATGGTGATTTCGTAGCAGTACTCGCGTTGCGTTCCTGGAATTCAGGTTTGTCAATGACTGCTGAGGTCACCGAGGACTCGGGCATCCACCACCACGCTATCGCGTAGTGGTTCATAAAAGTCAAGCTTGAGGACCATGTGGCTGCCTTGAAGATTTCTGGCAGTGAAACTCCTCTAATAAACACCGTGGATGTTGCACCTGCCCTGGTGGAGTGTGCCCTAGGTAGAGTCTGAAGGGGCTTGTTATGGATTGAGTGACACTTGGTGATGCAAGAGACTATGATCCTGGAAAGACGCTGGGAAAACAGTGGGTTACTCTTGGAGTGGTCCACCGTGGATACTATTAGACGGTCGGTTCTGCGCTAAGTCTGTGTTCTGTCTATATAAAATGCTATAGCTCGACATACATCAAAGGGCTCGTCTACACTGGCCCCTTTTCCGGAAGGGGCATGTTAATTTCAGAGATCGTAATAGGGAAATCCGCGGGGGATTTAAATATCCCCCGCGGCATTTAAATAAAAATGTCCGACGCTTTTTTCCGGCTTTTAGAAAAGCCGGAAAAGAGCGTCTACACTGGCCCCGATCCTCCGGAAAAAGCGCCCTTTTCCGGAGGATCTTATTCCTACTTTGAAGTAACAAGGGTTTATGAAGGGGTTATGAAGGTTGGACGGGTATGCAACGTGACTAAGTCCTTGTTGAAAACCATGAAAGGTGGTGTTGCCATTAATGCTGCTAGTTCGCTGGTCTGGGGTGTAACAGGGACCCCTAGTTCTGGGATAGAAGGTCTGTGAGGAGTGGCAAGGGACGTGGTGGGAACAGGGACATCCTGTGAAGGAATGGGTACCACGGTTGTCTTGCCCAGACTGGTGCTAGAAGTATGACCCGGGCTGAGTCTTCTTTGATTTTCTGGATTACTCTTGGAATAAGTACCGTTGGTGAGAATGCATAGAGCAGAGGCACTTCCCAACGGATTAACAGTGCATCTCCAAGGGAGCTTTTTCCCATGCCTGCTCTGGAGCAGTAAAGGTGACACTTCTTGTTCCCGAATGTCACGAAGAGATCTATTTGTGGCGACCCCAAGTTCGAAAGTTGTTGTCCAGGACATCAGGGCGGATTTCCCACTCATGATCCTGAGGGAAAAATCTGCTGAGAGCATCCGCCATGACGTTGCTCATGCCTGGTAAGTAGGACGCTACCAGAGTGATGTGGTTTCATACACACCAGTTCCATAAGCGGACTGCCTGTGCGCAGAGTAGCTGGGATCGTGTTCCTCCTTGATGATTGATATAACACATAGTTGCTATGTTGTCCGCAAGCACTTGGATGGTCGTACTAATAATGTGCATGTGAAAATGCTTGCACGCAAGGAATACCGCTTTTAGTTCTAGGAGGTGGATATGGGTCCGCTGCAGACCATCTACCTTGCCCGGACATGCCATCGATGTGTGCACCCCAGCCCAAGAAGGAGGCATCCATAATCAGCTGGGCTGATGGCTGTTGGGGTTTAAATGGGACACCTGCTAGCAGATTTTTGGGGTTCAGCCACCAACCCAGGGATCTGCGAACTAAAGCAGTTGGGTTTATCACCTTGTGCATGGAATACTTCATTGGAGTATACACCGATGACAGTCAATGCTGCAGATAACGAAAGTGAAGTCTCGTATGTTGAACTACGAAGCTGGTGGCCGCCATATGCCCCATGAGGCAGAGACAGGTAAGTACGGTGACTGTAGGGGCATGGATGACTACTGTGGCCAGCTCATGTATAATCCAAAAATGCTCTTGAGATAACTATGCACGTCCTGTGGTGGAATCTAGATGTGCACCTACGAAATTTATACTCTGCGTAGGATCTGGAGATGACTTCTGTTCGTTGATTATGAGCCCAAGCAACAGAAATGTTTGCCTGGTTACTGTCACCATGTGTAGTACATCTTATCTCAACCTGCTTTTTATAAGGCAGTCATTTAGATACGGAAATATGATCACGTCTCTGCAACATAGGTGAGCAGCTACTACCGCTAGGGTTTTTGAAAACACCCTGGAGCTGATGCGAATCCAAACAGTAGCACTTGGTATTGGAAATGATTGTTCCTGATGGTAAATCAGTAAAACGTCTGAAAGCTGGATGTATTGCTATGTGAAAATACGTGTCTTGCAAGTCGAGGGCTGCAAACCAATCGTCCTTCTCAAGTGATGGTATTATTTTGGAAAGGGTCACCATCTTGAACCTTTGATGGCGGAGCTGTTTGTTCAGCTTCCTGAGGTCGAGGATAGGCCTCCATCCTCCGGTCTTTTTCTCTGTGAGAAAATACCGTGAATAGAACCCTCTTCCTCTGAACTGAGGAGGAACGGGCTCTATGGCTCCTATGGAGAACAGACGCTGGGCCTCTTCCTTCAACAGGATCTCATGAGATGGGTCCCTGAAGAGGGAAGGGGCTGGTGGATTTGTGGGTGGTATGATGGTAAAGGGGATGGTGAGCCCAGGTACCACAAGTTGTAATACCGAGTGGTCCGATGTAATCACTGCCCATTGATCTTGAAAAGGTCGAAGTCGATGGTGGGTGACCTGTTGTTCTGTCACCATAAGGACTTGTTGCGTGCCCTTAATCAAACCATCAAACTTGCTACTTGGCACTTTGTTGATTGCCTGTACGGGTTGGTTGGGGTTGTCTACACTGTGGGCATTGTCTTGGTCTATAGATTGCTGCTGCTGCTATTGTCTCTGATGGGGTAGTCATACCTCCACTGGTATGGATAGTATCTCTTGCGCTGAAAGGAGTGTGTGTGCATCCCCAGGGTGCGGAGCATAGACTGGGAATCTTTCCCAGAAGGAAGGACCTCATCCATCTTTTTTGCGAGTAACTTGTTTTTGTCAAATGGGAGATCTTCCACTTTTGTGTGAAGCTCCTTTGGAACTGCTGCAGAAGTAAGCCAAGAGGAACGCCTCATGGCTATTGCAGTTGCGGTGGTGCCAGGTGCTGTGTCCACCACATCCAGCGAGATTTGCAGACTCGCTCATGCCACTGCAAAACCCTCTTGCACAAGAGACTTTAAGAGAGGACGCTTATTTTCTGGCAGGTATCAAAGAAGCTGCACTATCTTTTCATAATTGTCAAAGTTGTGATTGGACAACAAGGCAGCATAATTAGAAATGCGTAGGAGCAGGGTTGCCGAGGAGTATACTTTTCTGAATATGTTTAGCTTTTTGACAACTGGTGTTGCCTTATACTGGCCTGCTGTTAAGCTGTATCTACCACCAGTGAGTTCAGTTGAGGGTGGTTAAAGAGGTTCTTGGATGGGACAAAATATTTGTCTGCTCTCCTGCAGGTCGGTGGCACCGATGCTGGTGTCTGCCAGATGGTATCGGTTGCCTCCATAATGGCTTCATCAATAGGAATGGACACCTTCACGCTCTGCCTCAGATGCAAGATTTTTAATAATCTATACTATTTCGTTTGCACCTCTGTTAGTTGGATTTCCTGGGTCTGGGCCGCTCGCTTGAAGAGGTCCTGGAACTGTTTAAAATCATCTGGTGGAGACGTGTCCACTGGGAAAACCGCCTCGTCTGGTGAAGAGGAAGAGCAGTCAGGGATTGGAATTTCAGGCTGCTGGTCCTCCGCTTCTGACAATTGTCCCTCCTCCAGGTCCTAGCAGTGTGATGAGGCGCCCATCCTGTGTGCTGAGGAGGTGAGCTGACGACTATAGTGTTGCTGTGGCAGCGTGTGCTCTGCTGGCGGTGGGCTGGCATGCAAAGGTTGTTGTTGGGCACGGTGGTGAAGCCGTGAACTCAACGAATACAGAGAATCAAGGCGGAGATCATAATAATGATCCAATGGGTGAGTCGATGAGCACCAGGATGATCTGCTTGTGGAGAATAATTATAGTGTGGTGACCATCTGTATAGTGGAGAGTAGGATCGGTGTCTGTAGTATTCACTGTAGGGTGGGTGTCCATATGGGGAATAGCGCCTGTGATAGAAGTGCTGTCTTGGGGTGCGCTGCCAGTAGGCATACTGCAGAGGCGACTGATACATTGATGGAGAAGGAGAAGGACCCGGTGAAAATCTCAGAGAAGGGGAGTGGGAAGCCCTTTGTCTCCGTGTTTTGTAAGGTGTTTTCACTGGTGGCTCTGACTGCTTCTGTGCCAGCTCCGGTTCCTACTCCTGTGCTGGTGTTCCATCAAGCCGCGGCACCGCTATGCTTGCCGGTGCCGCAGCTGTTTGAGCTGTGGAACTGCTCTGCAGTGCCAACAATGGTGGCTGCTGTGTTGCTAGTGCCAGGAGAGCTTCATTCGGT